TATAGCCCATATAAGGGAGTACCTCCCCCAGGCATCTGGGAAATTTAAAGCTCCTGCAGGAACCAGTACCAAAATTTGGCACATCACCATGGATATCATCAACAGAATACCCCACGTGGCTAAGCAACCTCAGCTTCTGCCCTTTCTTCAAAACAGGTTTCCAGCGACAATTCAACTGGACTCAACTCAATTCATTTCTCTGACTGTTGAAGCATGTGTCCTGAGCAGACAGTGAAAACATCGTGTAGTGGTCTGCTAAGACAATCTGTTTCACAGAGGAGCAAGTCACCATGGCCTGTCTATTTTCTGATACCATATTCGTAAAGAGACTTCCTGCTTGGAGAACCCTAGAAAATACAATAAATAGCTTCGTGGACATGTGATGCTTGCTAAAGACTGAGTTGTAGCTGTTCTGCACACATTACAGACTCATTACATACCGGTGTTGGAAATTAGCGCTCACTCGCTCGCCCATGCAAGTGTGAATAGCATTGGGCAAGTACAAATCATCTATCACTCACCCGTTTGACAAGTACGATTTTTATTTTTGGGGAATTTGCACCCTGCTGGGCAAGTGAAAACTGCACCGGGCAAATGGATTTTGAGAGTCATGCACCCAAATTGCGAGTGCTGTCAAAGTTTAGTTTCCAACAATGCATAACAATGATACTATTAATTACTGTATCCAAATTTGCAATTAGCCAATCAGAAACCATGTACATGTATAGTGTCCTAATATCCTGCGATATCAAGTCACTGGCCTGATGTTGTTAGGATATCATGCCTCGTTTGGTCTTGCCATGGGTATTTTGTGGGTAGTGTAGCCACTCTTATAAGCTTGTAATTTTATTTGTAACGTGGTGTAGCAGCTGTTATTGTTTTAAGGCTAGTAGCATTGTTTCTGTTGTTTTTTCTATTGCTCTGTCAAACGGTATCAAGCCATTCATGTGACACCTTGCGAGAGCTGCCACATGACCCATAATTTGGCTCGACTGCGTCTCGCCAAAAGGTGAACAATGACAAGACCAAACTCACCTGATATGCCACTTACGGTTACCTAAAAATGTAATAGAATAGCTGTATAGGTAATTAATGCATGCTAAGGCCTATGTTTTTATACCCTCTATGCAAATTGCATGCCTGGTAAGCCTATGATGCTATTCAATAGTGAATACTACAGAAAAGCCACACAGGCATGTAATGTTTGCAAAGCAGCTATGTAACTTTGCCTGTTGAACACATCACTTGCAAATGCCAAAGAATCATTACGTGGTTATGACCCTGTTCAATACTACAGTGGAACCTCTCCACAACAGCCTCCTTGAGGACAGAGGAAAGTGGCCGTTGTAGAGAGGTGGCCGTTATGAGGAGGTAGGGGTGTAATGCGACACCCATTTTTGGGGGGGTACAACATTTTTTTCTTAAAACAAATGCTTATTTTAGCATGTATAAGTCAAAATGTATCAATAAAACTGAAACTTAACAGGAACAGAGATCAATGGCACGTGGTATGGTCCAAGTTTGGTGACATTTTAGAACAAAAAAGTGGGGTTTTATGTGCACTGTTCATCTGTCACTGATTAACTGGCTGTTATCAAGAGGTTATTATGGCAGTTGGGACGAGTTTAGTGGCTGTTACTGTTGTGGAGAGGTGAACATTGTAGAGGGGTGGCTGTTAGTGGAGGCTCAACTGTATAGAAAAATGACAAAAACAAGCCACGCATGCATAGACCTATGTAATTCTGCCTTTTGAATACATAACGTGCCTATGGTATGCAAAAGAATCAAAACTGCTTTGGATTAATGTGTATCTCCACCTTTTTTATGAAATGTCTAATGTTTTCTCCTACCTTATAATTTCAATTTGAGATGAAAAGCTATTCCTTTGTGACATCAAGACCAGAGTCCTTGGAAGCAGACATTGTTTTGCTGGTTTTACGCATGGACAGAAATCGCTTCACTTCTGAGTGGCTTGACTGGAGATAACCCTTACCTAACAATGACAGAATTCAGCAACATTCTGTTGTTTATCAGAAATAATTTATTGTTATCAATTCAATAATATCATTATGTTGTTGTGGAATCGTGGGATCAGCATCTAGTCCGCCAGCCATCTCCTGCCAAGGATTTCAAGGGGTGTGTCACAGGTGACCACCTCAATCAACCCTTGGGTTGCTAGTACATGTATGGTAACAATGCTCCAGATTAGACTGCAAAACAGTCATTTTTGGACGTTTTCGAAAGGCGCAAAGCACCGTAAGCACGATCCTCATGTGTGAAGTACGTGAGCCTCACCCACCAGGCATGTCTCTCCCCATTCTACATCGCCACTTTTACACTCGCTCCAGACCTTTTGTTCGAGTAGTGGCCGTCGCTCGCGTTCGCAAAAAATACGACTGTTTTGCAGTCTAACTCCAAATTGACTGTGAAGCACCAGTGCGAAATTTGAAGCCATCACCCTGAAGTCTTTGCAGAGACCAATTGAGAACAAGTCCCTTTACAGATGAATTTCCTAACAACTTTTCTCGTTCAGTCTGTTTGAATTTTACTCCCCCAGGGGCTCAGCAGCTACCTTTGCTATCTCATTATAGATTACACTGCATGACCAGGCACATGATGTTAAGAGCAGTTTGAATTGTTTCAAGAGTGGCAACCCAAGTGTGCTTAACTCTCCTTCATTGTAACAATGCCACAAGGCTCTGGGAATCTGTAATCCTGACTTTTCATGACCACCATCCAGAACAAGGCAACTTCAAGTGCCTGTGACTCTACAGGAAAAGAACTACATGTAGTGCACCCGTACTGTGCACCAGCTGCACCACAGTTCTCCACCCTTTGGTAAATAATAATTGTCGAGGCTAATCGCCATCGCAAAGTACAGCAACGACGCAGCTCGACAAGGTCGAACCGAAAGCATACATGTAAAGCTCCATGCTACCCAGTTACATCACCTCTGATTAGTGATGTCATTTATTAACATTTAACCATTGTTCTGCTAAGACTTTTTAAAAATATTCAATAGTTTTCAAGAACAAAACAAAGGCCAAAAATGGGAAAAGGAAGAAACACTCAAGTCATTGTTGCAACATTACAAAAATACCAACCAACAAAAAAGAGGGAAAATCTGAGCAAAAGGAAAACTCAAGAAAACATAAACCTAAATCTAAACATGAGACACGCATGCCCTCAGTCTTTCAGTTTTGTAAGATTCAATATACCTACCAGCACATGACACCATCCTTGTAGTTATCTGCACAAAGGGATCCTGGAGGGCTTTCCTGTCTCCAACATTAAGTTCTGTCAGGCGAACTAAAATAATTATCCATCATTTACTTGACATTACTGGAAGTGTTGATTGAAGTAGAATTAAACACTAAAATTATAACGGATACAGTCGACTGGTATCAGTTACTTATAAGCAGATAAGATGCTATTGATTAGGCTCAAGTGGTGAATTACGTAGTTTCCAGTGACATGTGGGAGGTGCGGTTCCCTCATATTTAGTGTGCTTATCTCTGGAATCTCTGGAATGAGTGGTCTGAGTTCAAGCCCTGGCCAGGGACATTGTATTGTGTTCTAAAGCAAGACACCTTACTAATTCACAGTGCCTCTCTCCACTCCACCCAGGAGTATAAATGGGTACGCCATACTTAACGTTAGGGGGGGGGGGTAACCCTGTGATGGACTAGCATCACATCCAGATGGGAGTAGAAATACTCCTAGTCACTTTATGCTACAGAAACTGGAATATGGTAAGCTCTGGCTTGATGGGCCACTCAGCTGGTATACAGAGTTTACCCTACCAGTTACACATAATAGCGAATCAAAAGTTGTAACTCAGAATACCTTTCTCTGCCTCAGCCCACTTTTTGATGACGGAGGATTCACACTCTCTTTCATTCTTTATATCAGCTTTAGTTGCCACAACAACAATTGGGAACTATAAACAAGCATTTGACCAGATGAAAATACATTGTTAAACAATTTGAATATCTAGTCTGACGGTCATTTTTAGATGATGAATAAAAATGCTCAGCAGGATGATAAAAAGAATTGAAATGCATTACTGTCTGTTATGACACACTCTCTGAGTGACGTGTGTTTTAGATTTGCCAATGGATTCCTTTAATATGTAATCTACATCTATTAATATGTGTTCTTATGGCTGTAAACCTACATCTTTTCCCCTGTTTCTGTCTATTTCTTTCTTGATGGCTTGAATCTGCTGAAAGGATTTCTTTGAAGTCACACTAAAGACAAGAAGAAATCCCTGCGAAAAAGAAAAGAAAGCTGTTTAAACAACACTCTGCAGGGAAAACTCAAATTATCTAGCTCATGTATTTGGAGAAGCACACCCAGATTTTGAGCCTCTGTGTATCACAGGTACACAAAGTAACTATCTTTGCAAAATGATTTCATTCCCACATTATGATTCATCAGACTTCTCTATTTCTTTCAAGGGTACATGCATCATGCTATAGTACCTGAGCTTGCTACATGCACATACTACTGTGTGGTCTGACTTGAGATTTTATACAGATTATATCAGGTGGGTCAGGGGACACACAGTTCAACCCCTATTAAATGGCCACCCCTATTAAATGTGGCTTCCACTCTAAATATTATAAAGGGGACTGGCCGTTTAACAGAGGTAGAAAAAATAGAAAAGCCTTCGACGGGACTTTGATTAATGGCTGCCTAATAGGGGTGGCTGTTTAATAGGTGGCCACTTACTAGGGGTTCGACTGTATAATTTAAAAATGTGCACCCCACCCTGGAGAAATTATCACAGTCTGACAGTTCCTTCAATAATAAGTCCATTTCATGCTAAATAATCATTTGGAGAAAATCATTTTTCTAACAATATCAAAAAGTATGCAGTACACTCAACAAAATTTTTCAGTTAGGAGTTGCTTTTGAAATTATTAATCCCTATAATTTAATCACAGAAATCTATCATAATTTCATACATAATTTATCACAAAATATGCAATACATACATCCGCCAGATTAAGATAGTGTTTAGAAAGCTCTCCAGTACTTGATTCCTGTCAGTGAATCAAAGAAAAAGCACAGTGATCAAACACTTCCTTGGTACAAATGACAAGTGAAAAGCATCTTCAGTCTAACCACACAAAATGTAGCATCATTAGTGAATGTGTTGGCCATTTTGGTCATCATGTAAGTGATTAGTAATCAATTAAGAACATGTAAGATAACTCACCACACCAGCAGTATCAAAAATTCTAATTTTCTCCTTTACTCCTCTATCAGTGTCCAGCTGAACTTCATAAATATCCTCAATTGTATGAAATGTTGGCTGAGGGTTGATTGAAAACAATTAATGACACTCCAATTACATGCCCATTTTATACCAACCTACTCCATCCAGTTGACAAGATTTTCTAAAGGGGGCTACAAAAGTAACGATGTCAACTCTCCTGTATTATCATGGATAGAGACCAAATCTTCTGTAAGGATCACCAAATTTCCTGGATATGAAGGGAAGCCTACATTTTTCACACATATTTTGGCTGATTTGGCATTTTTTAGGAAAAGTCTTTGCATTTGACTTAGTTTTCTGGTTGAATCAGTGGAGCTCTACTTTTAAAGGAGAGCTTCTCAACTTCCCCCCCTCCCCCCAAAAATTGTGTAATCACAATTGTTTTTTCTTTTTTTGGGGGGGGGGAAGGGGTCGAGAAGGTTAAATTGGCGATCTCCCAGATTTTAATTTTTTTTAGGTTGGCAGCTCTGCAAAAGTCATTTCTGAGGCACTTACTCTGTTGGTATCACTTAATACCTTGCAGATTTCTGCAGGGCCTTGGAAGAAGGATTGACAGAGGGTGTGGATCCTATATTGTAGTGCTGGTATCCAAATTAGACACAAGGATAATTGAGTGACACCCATAAAAAAAGGACAGGGATGCTCGTACAGGTTAAAAGAATGGTTTTGGTACCTCTTGGAGTGTTAAGCCTTAAAGGTCCACAGCTGTAGCTTTTGTAGTACCTTTTAGAGTATTGAGCAGAAAAAATATGACAGGAGATAAAGGGCACGATCCATTCGACCAAAATTTCTGGGTTGAGGTTCCAAGACTTCTTGGTGTCAAATGGATCATGATAGGTCCAAACGGTCTTCTTCCATTCCACTCACAAAACGAGTTACGCGCTCATTTTACAATGCAGGATGTTGGATCACTGTTGCTCGTATTAGAGCTAGATGAAGATTTTGACGTTGATATCAATGGTATTGTGTGAGCTGTCTCATGCGTAGTAATTTAACCCGTATAACAGGTTATTTTGAGCAGACCGTTCCCAGATATTTACCATATGAGTTCAAACACATCTTTCGAATGACGAAATATCTCGGGAAATAAATCGTCCTTAAGAGCCGTAAACAGCCAAGACATACGCTTGACTTGTGAAGCAGCCACAAATCTGTTGTAACTGGACATGGATATGCCATTAACACCGATAGATCCGCTGTTAACAATCCATAAAAGCTGCAATGATTGGTTGAATGGATCGTGCCCACTCTGTTATGTTAGAATTGGTACCTCTTGGGGGAGAAAAAAATTTCAAGCCATGCTCACAAAACAGGAAATCTGGTACCTCTTAGTGTAGCTACAGCAGTTAAGTTGTGCGCATGCGATGTACGACACTTGAAGTGGCACGTGCTTCTGCAACAAATTTGCACGCGCAACATTGCGCAAGTTTTCAACGGGTTTCTAATTTAAGCTGTTTTACGCTCAATTACTATACTTTGTAGCCTCGA